TGAGCCACCCATGTACCCCTAAATTGATTTGCTTTTAACCTACTCTTGTTTTTGTATTCTTGGTCACTATGCTGGACCAAATGGGCTTATACTTCTTCCTGCAAGTATACTCTGAAAAATTTTACTTTGTGTCTACTTTCCCTTAGGATCATAAATTTTGAGAAGAGGAAAGCGCTTTAGAGATTAATCTAGTTAAACCCAGGAAACTGAGGCTCAGAATTTAAAGTGACTTACCCAAGATCATAGGGAGTATTTGTATCAGAGCTGGGTTCAGTGTCTAGTATTCCCTGTTTGTGTTTTTTCTTTTTTTCATTGCTCAAGCTGCCCATGAAACTGAGACTATCTGATTTTGCTTCCTCATACCGCATGATTTTCTAACCTTTTGAGAACATTTCAGTTCTTTTTTTTTTTTTTTTAACGTTTATTTTTTTGAGAGACAGAGAAAGACAGAGCTCAAGCGGGGGAGGGGGAGAGAGGGAGACAAAGAATCTGAAGCAGGCTCCAGGTTCCCAGCTGGAGTCAGCTGATGCAGGGCTCCAACTCACAAACCATGAGATCATGACCTGAGCCGAAGTTGGCTGCTTAACCAACTGAGCTACCCAGGTGCCCCCATTTCAGTTATTTTAGGGTAAACTTCATGTATTTTAACCTTTTTGTACCCTGCATAGCATCTTGCATTTGTAAATGCTCAGTAAATACTTATTGGGTGTATATTTTCTAGACTTCCAAACATTCTTGCTTATTGATTCTTTCTTCTTTCTTAGAGTAATACATCCTATTAATGTGTGAAGAAATCCAGAAATCTGGAAGATTGGCAAAATTTAAAAAAATTTTTTTAGTTTGTATAAATATTAGTTATTCATCAGGTATTCTTTTTATAAAATGTATTTATTTTGAGAGAGTGTGTGTGCACACGTGAGCGGGGGAGGCACAGAGAGAGGGGGAGAGAGGATCCCAAGCAGGCTCCATGCTGTCAGCACAGAGCCCGACTTGGGGTTCAATCCCACAAACTGTGAGATCATGACCTGAGCCGAAATTAAGAGTCAGATGCTAACTGACTGAGCCATCCAGGTGCCCCTGCATCAGGCATTCTTGTCCTGTCTTCTAGGTGCTAATAGCCTTCCTTGTCTCCAGGTTCTCAGAAAAGGAGGAACAGAAGCCAAATGCTGCTTCAAGGTTTGACAAATTAGTGATTAGGAGATTGATTCCAAGCTTTCACTGAGTTTAGGAATAGAGGTAGAGGATTAGGTATAGAACTAAAGGAGGTAGTATTGAAGGGGAAAAAAAGAGCCTGGATATACTTTCATTTCAGAGCTATAAACATAAATCTTTTCCCCCATCTTTCTATTTTGAAACATTTTACTAGATTTGTATTTCATCCCCACCCGCCACACACCACATGTGTTTTTGTTGACCGTTTTTTTTCCACACCCAAAACCCAAACTAAGGCTTTCACCTTGCTCAGTTGCATGTTAAGGCTCCAGGTTTGAAATTCATACATGCTTGTGACATAAAATGTGTCCCCTTTTTTGACTACTAGTGAATGAAGCTAAGCAAATCCTCCTTCTTAAATTGAACTAATGAGTGCAGTTCAGAAATTGTCTGTCTCCCTCTGAGGCAGTAGGTACTTCCTAGTTTGCCAGATCTGGCATGGGATCCATCACCGCTGTATGCCTTTATCTGATTTGAGCCACCTTCTGTTTGTGATTAGATTTGTCTGCTCCTCTCTCTCTCTCTCAAAATAGCTGTTCTGAAAGCAATTCAGTAACTCAGTCCTTTTAAGATTTTAGCCATGGTTCTCTTCCTTACTAATAGGCTTACTTTCTCTGCAGTGATTGCTCTCTTCTATAGGCCTATAAAAGCTTTCCTCATCCCCCTTATCATTTGCTTCATTAATATGATTTCCTTCTCTTGAATGCCTCTTCCTCTCCCCGCTTAGAGCCATTAAATTATTGAGTGCATTCTGTAAAGTTTCTCTCATCCTATTTTAATTTCGTGCACCACATTTTTTTTCTCATCTGAAACTATATTGCTTCCTGCATTTGGATTTCAGAATTTTTTGTTTTTTAAAGGAGATTGTATTTTTAATTATATTTGGCCTAATTCCCCATTGTGGGTACGTGTACCATATGGGAAGTCCCTGGGATAACAGTCATGGTTTCTTCCTATCTTCTTAGCTTACTATTCTCCTTCCTTTCTCCCCTGAAGCTTCTCACCCTGTCTTCTCTAATGCTTTTGGAAACTACTAAGAAGTTTAAATGGCCAGTGTGAAAATATGTCAGTGTCCCCATTTTACCATATATATGTAACATTTATAATTTATACTCTGCCTACATCCCAGAGGGATGTGAGGTGGCTTATGATAAAAAAAAAAAAAAAAAAGAACCTCACATGTCCCACAGTACTGTTAAAAATAGTCAGAAAGGGAAATCAGAAGCCATTGAAAGGAATCTGTAACACAAAGTACGTATGAAACATAAGAAGAAAATTTCTATAAAAAGTGAAAGAAGAACATAACCTTTTAATTATGCAAGGGCCTTGCTATTTTGACTGTAGTGGAAGAAGATTGTAATTGTGGTCTAAATGTTTCTGTGTAGTGACAGAGTTACAGTATTTCTCATTTTCCCCCTAGAAATTTTTTTTCTAAAAGCAGAGAACTGAAGGAGTGTTTGGTTAGTCCCCAATTACCGTTGTCAGCCTCTTTGGTCTGGCTTCGTCATTCAGATTTCCCACTACCAGCCACCATGTCTTGGTCACCAGCTGTGTGCCAGACCAGCAAGGGATTACATGCGCATGATCTCATTTACTCCTCATCACTGGGTTGTGAAATAGAGGATGGGGCTCTGTGTTAGGGATGAGGAGGAAATACTCTAAGTAGGTAATTGGATCAGAGTCGCATAGGTAGTACGTGGTAGAGTGAGGGTTTAAATCCAGATCTTTCTGGGTTCCCTTTCTGTCACTTGGTGATTCTTCTTGTCAAAGAACTGTGTTGGAAAATTAGCCGTTCAACCTCCTAATGTTTACCTCCACTTCCGGTTTTTGTTCAGTGTAGGATTTCCCAATGATAGGTTCAGGGATCTGCTTAATATGGAATGCTGATTTGAACATGTGTATGTGTGCAGGGGATTAAATTTTTTTATTTTCTTATGTTTTCATATTGGCTTGAAGTCCTGACATGGAACTAATTGTCTTGCATTTTTCTTGGAGGAGTCAGGAGAGAGGGAGTGGGCCACAAGGTGAGGGTGCATAGGTGAGTCCTGACCATCCTGTGCCTGACCCTAGTGCTAGCAGTTAGCTTTGAGGCAGAAGGGTACTAACATTTTTATTGAAACAGGACACTTACATGCATTATTTCGTGTCATTCTCACAGCAGCCTTTGTGGTAAGTGGTTTTAGCCTCAATTTATAGACGGGAAAACTGAAGCACAGAGCATTAAGCAAGTTTGTTCAATGTCACACAAGTAGAAAATGGAGTTCTCAGTGAAGCTTAATCTGCCCCTGGAGCCCATGGTCTTTTCCTTTACATGTTCTCATTTCTAACAATACTAGCTAATATTTATTGAGCTCTTACTATGTGCCAAGCAGGATTCTTAGCACTTTACAGGATTATTTAATCCTTACAGCAGTCTTATGAGCTACACAGTCATTATCTATCTCCATTTCACAGGTGAGTAAATTGAGGTGTGGAGAGTTAAAGTAACCTGGCAAGGATCAGAAGGCATGGGAGTGGCAAATCTGGGATAGTCTCCACTAATGGAGTTGACTTTCTTGTAAACCGTAGTTTCAAGCAGTTTCTAGTATTTAGAGCCACACTCCTTACTCTTTTTCCTTACCTGCAAGATAAAAATAGAGGGGTCATTCAGAAAAAAAGAATTTGTTTGCCTTTTTAGGAAAGTAATTAAGGGGGGAAATACTTTTCTTGTAGGAACTGTGTGTGAGGACAGTACTTAGCACCGTAGCCCTGAGATCTAGCATGGCTGACTGCTTCTATGAGTACTACTCGTGAGACTTGGCTATGATAAGTTAAACAGTGATAATCTCTGCCTTCATTAACCACTTCAGTAAAGATGATCAAAACTCTACCTTTTAATGACCACATTGCAAGATTTTCTAGCCCCTGCCTTTTCTCCCAATTCGGTTGATCAGTAATGATTCACCTTACTTCCTATTCTTAATGCCTACCAGCCTGCAGTGGAATATAGGCTGTTACTGCTCTTCGTGCATACTTGATTTAGCAAGCATGATGCAGTTCGGAAGCATCTACCATTTATTTGCCTTGGGCACTGTGATGAATCATATTCCCATGAAATGAAGTGACCTTTGTGGCACACAGACCCAGTGCCTCACTCTCCTTGACTCTGCAATATTAAAAGCAGAGTAGTGTTTCATGGTGTAATTTTTTGGCTTGTATACAGCTTTACTGAAGGAAGGAAACAGAAATGTTGTGGGCACCAAAGTGGTAATAATTCAAAACCCACGTACCTATTGTTCTTTGAATTTCTTTCTTTCATCAATTGCTGTTAATTTAACAGAACTCTTTTACAACCAAAAACCGCTGAAGAATGAAACAAGCTGGGTTTGATTTTATGCTCTCATCTTTACTAGCTTCTATGGCTTTGCACAACTTATTTAACCTCTCTGGGCCTCAGTTTCCTTATTATGAGGATTAGCGATAACGTCTGGTAAGCACCTAGTACAGAGCCTGGCACAGAGCAGATGTTCCATACAGAGAAGCTGCTCTTATTATTATAAAATGCAAAGATGATCTCATGATGTAAAAGCTTGAGATTTGTTTTGTTATGGTAGTAAATAGTGTTTCCCTGTGGACTTCTTTGTCCTGCTCATGTGAAATCCAAGGAAAACAGTAGAATAGTGTTTGCAATAAGGAAAGATAGCTCTTTGTTCCCCTCAACAGACAAAAGAAGCTCATTATCGTATCAAGTAGTGACTGTTGCTATTGAAATGGTTTATTTGTATGTTTTTTCTGTTTTTTTTTTCTAGGGATTTATTTGTGGCTTTTCAGTAGCAACAGGTGCAGCAGCGAGACTAGTGTCAGGATACGACAGCTATGGAAATATCTGTGGGCAGAAAAATGCAAAGTTGGAAGCAATACCAAACAGTGGCATGGACCACACCCACCGGAAGTGAGTAGACTGTTGGCTGAATGAACTCCATGGAAACTTTGAACGGGGGTAGAAAGTCCTGCTCTTTTATATTTTCTAATAATCTTCAGTAATATATTATTTTCATATGACTCCTGTTGGTGTTTTTAGTTTTTTAACTGTCCACTTGAATCATTCCTGGTTTTGGTCTCTAAATACATTTTCCAGGAAATAAAATGAGCTGCCGGGTTAAAATGGGTGACCTTCAGGGTTTAATGAGTAAAGGCTTGATTTGAGAGGGTTATTCCTTTACTCTGTTTTCCCATTAGCCTATAGGTTGTACACAAAGTTTTAACTCAGGAAATAACATAATATTTTTTCTTCCTAAGATTGTACTTGATGGGAGAGAGAGGGATGGTAATGGATTTTGAAACATTAAAGGTATAATGAAACATTTTGTGATGCATCATTTATAAGTACAGTACGCATAAATTTCCAATTTTATAAAAGATACATTTTCTTTGTCAGACTTTAAAATTTGTTTTGAGTTCTCAAGCTTCATCTTTTGAATGTCTTGAAATTCCTTAATTGTCTTTTTTCTTCGGAGGAGCTATGACTTCATTTTTAATGTCTGTGAGGGAAATGTATTTCATGAAACATATTTTAGGTATGATGTCAGTATATTTGTCCACACTGTATATTTATGCCCTACTTGATTAGATAGGTCTAATAAATAAAGACAGATCTTCAGAATTAACCAAACTAATTTTAAAGTAATGGGTTATCCAATTCAATTAATGAACTTTATAGGAAAAGGCTAAGCAGTAGAAACATTTTTTTAGGCTATAGTTGTCTTAAGAAACATTTTCCAGGATGTGATAACTATTTTTATTATTAGATAAATCTGTTTGTTAAGTCATGGCCACTACCGGCAAATATAAGATTAATTTGATAATTTCACAAACCTGAAGAGACCCAAATAGTTAGTAATATCTCAAAGATAGTTCCCCATTGAATGAAGGAATAATGCTATTCAAATAAATGAAATTTTAAATAATAATAATAAATATTTGTCTAGCATGCCATAGTTGGCAAGCATATGATACCATGCTGTGAGGTAGGTGTAGCAGAGGCTTAGAGAGATTGAAATGATTTTCTCAAAAGTCTGGTTGGTCAGTGGAATATCAAACGCAGACCATGAGCTTTTCCCCTGATAAAGCACCTGCATCCCTTGACAGAAGTAAAAACTGGACTCATGGAGAGTAATTTAGAGGATTTTCATTTATCCTATTTTTTGATTGCCTCATAAAATTAACACAAATTTTAAGCCTTGTATTCTCGTAACAAGATAGCCTATATATATATATATATATATATATATATATATATATATATATAGATATCT